CTCCCAAGTTGTAAATGACACACAAACCCCACCTGCTGAAACACCAACCCACTTTTAGAGGAAACACAGCAAAAAGCAGCTCACCTCTACTAGGTGATTGTCAGGGCCATACAGGTCTTTATCAAGTTCAATGACCAGAGATTTAAAGAAGGACGAAAATTTCCTTTTCTGCTTGGTGGCATCATATTTGGACAGAGCAGACTGCAAGCAACACAGGGAGGAAGAGGGTTAGGGCAGCAAGTCTCAGCACTCAAGCACAGCCACCGTGCACGACAGCTCCTGTAAGTTCTGACCACCTGAATTCACCAACGTGTGCTCAAAAATCGAGTTTCCAAGTGAGAAAAGGAAAGACTGGAGTTAAAGATGAGCTCGCAGGAGTTAAACCCCTCAGCAGTTACGTACAATGCCAGTGCCCTGGTTCTCAGAGCCGGGGACACAAGTGCCACTGAGCTGCTCTCACCAGTGATTCTCACAACTCTAAGAACTTTGGACAACTCATGTCCTGCCATGGGGACACCCATCGGTCTGCAAGCTGGGCTCTCGGTCTCGTCACCATCAGACTCCTTGGAAAACAGAGATGAAGGAGGATATCAAGCCCCAGCTGTGCTCTCAGACACTAGGAAACTGGTTTTACTGCCAACTCCAGACCCACAGTCCCCTCTGAGGTTGGGTATTTCCCACTTACATCCTCCAACAGCCGTCCTTCCACCCGGAGCTCCCAGGAGGCGACGGTTCCTTCGCCGTCCTCCGCGTCCGACTTGGCGGGGTTGAAGGTGTTGGAGATAAAAATACGCAGCTTTCGCTTTTGCTAGGAGGAAAACCACCAGCTAATTAACAATCAGTTAATTCTCCTGCACAGGGCCAACTGTGCTGCACAGGCTTTGCTAAAACTGAGCTCAATGCTCTCAGCTGCCTCGCATTCCCCTCTCCTGGAGCACACAGCGAGGACAGAGGAGCTGCTGGTCCCAGTCCTTGGGATTTGCCACACTCACAGCACACAGCCCTTCAGTGCCCACCTGCTGCCTGAACTCAGGAGCCTGCAGAGCCTGGATACAATCCATGGACCCCCCTACCTTGATGGGGCGTTTCAGAGCCTCCTGGATATCCAGGCGCTTCCTCATGATGGTCTGGTCCAGCTTCCTCTCGAAGGCCAGCAGGTCCATGTAGGCCTGGGACTCGGGCACGAGCTCACGGATCTGTGGCCAGGCAAGGATGGAAATGCCCATCAGCTCCCCAGGCTGCCTCACCTCCCCCCGAGCCCCTCCCTGTGTCCCACTCACCCGCTGTGGGAGGATTTTATCTGCCATCTTCTTCTTCTTGGCACTGACAGGGGCAAGAGGCAAAGGAGGTGTGAAAATGGGAACAGCTCTGGGTACAAAAAATCACAAACCTGCAGCTCCCCAGTTAGCTGGGCCCTGCTCAGTGTGGCTAACTGGTTATCTCAATGCTCCCCACCCCTCTGAGCACTCACAAAGGGAATTACAGCTGTTGGAAAGGGGTTTCATCCCTTGGGAAGGAGGACCTGACACAACACCCACACCAAGTGACCCTCCTGCCTCAATCAACCTTGGGTTGGCTTTTCCAGGAACAGCATTTTAATCCAGCATGAATTTCATTCTCAATAGGGCATCACACCAGGATGCAGGCACGTGACATAAACTCAGCCCTGTCCAGTGTTGTCCTCCAGTGCCAGGGGAAGCACAAGGACCTGACAGGACCCTTGAGCCCCTAAATGCTGCAGGATGGCTGAGAACTCCAGAATCCTTGAGGTTGGAAAAGCCCTTCCAGACCCTTGACTCCAACCTGTGCCAATCCCCACCCTGTCACCAACCCAGAGCACTCAGTGCCACATCCATCATTCCTTGAAAACCTCCAGGGATGGGAACTCCACCACCCTCCTGGGCAGCCCCTTCCAAAGCCTGGCAATTACCATGAAAAAATTCCTCCCGATCCCAACGACAAACCAGGCGATGTTGCTGCCGCCCCGAGATGCTCCCATTGTCCGGAATGTCCCCGTTACCCCGGGATGTGCCCTCTCCCCGTGCCCCCGTTCCTTACTTGTGGTTGCGGTTGGGCACCGCCTGCGGCTGCACCTGCTGAAGCTGCTGCGGCGCCGGCCGCTTGCGAGCCTGGTCCAGCCCGGCCTGCGCCAGCGCGGGCCGCACGGCTGGGCTCCCGCCGTACCCGGGAGGACCCATGGCCGGGCCCTGCGGCGCCAGGCGGCCGCCCGGCAGCATCCCGGGGCGCTGCGGAGAGAACAGAGCCGGTCAGCGCCCGCCGAGCCCGGCCCCGCGCCCCGCCCCGCGCCGCCCCGCCTCACCGGGTAGGCGGCTCCGGGCAGTGGCGAGCGGTACAGGCCCTGCCCCGGCGCCGGGCCCATGCGCACCGCCCCGCCCGGCGCTCCCGGGCCCAGCGCGGCCCCGGGCGCGGCCCCGGCGCCGCCGCCGCTCGCAGGCCCCGACTGGAACCCGGCCCGCGCCGCCATCTTGTCTCGCACAAAGGGAGCGGAACCGGAAACGGCCGCGCAGGGCGCGCGGAGCGCCGGGGAGGAGCCGCCCGCGCCCGCCGCCCGCAGCGCCCCCTGGCGGAGGGGAGGAACGAGCGGCGGGGATGGGGGATTGGGGGGTGCGGGAGGGGGATCGGGGATATTGAGGGGCGGGATTGGGGTGCTGGATGGTCCCAAACGCTGGGAGGGGTTGGGAGGTATCAGTCCCCTCTTCTCGGCCGTGATTACAGCCCCTGCTCCCTGGTGCTGGAGCCTCCCTTGCTCCGGGATGTGCTCAGAGAGAAGTGGATGTTGGATGCGCCTTTCGCAGGGATGGAGGGCTCTGATGTGCAGGGGGGGCAGTGACACCCCTCGCCTGAGCTGCCCTCCTCGTTCAGGAGGAATTTCTCCATGGAAAGGGTTTGAGGGGCTGCCCTGGGGGGTGGTGGAGTCGCCATCCCTGGAGGTGTCCAAGGAACAGCTGGACGTGGTACTCATGGTGCTCTGATGGGGATCGCTCACAGTTTGGACTTCGTGATCTTTTCCAGCCTCAGGGATTCTGGAATCTTGGGATGGAATTTATGGGGAAAACAAATGGCCACGAATGGGCCTAGTTTATGCAGGTTCGGGCAGAGGAAAAGGATTCCTGTCTCCCCTGGGGTTCCTCCAGAGCAGGAGGTTGGAGTTAAAGGCCACTTTCTGCAAGTATTAACATTAAGTTCCTTCTCCCTGAAGCAGTTTCCTGTGCTCAGAGAGAAAAGGGACACAAACCCAGTCAGCATTAATCCATGGAAAAAGCCAAGTGCGCAGTCACACCACAAGTATTAATTAAAAAATTAATGATGATCATCTGATGAGCGCTGCCTGCAGCCTGGGGGTCCCAGCACAGGGAGGACGTGGAGCGAGTCAGGAGGAGGCACCAGGATGATCCAAGGGATGGAGCAGCTCTGCTGAGAGGAAAGGCTGGCAGAACTGGGATGGTTCAGCCTGGAGAGGCTCGGAGTGACCTCATTGTGCCTTTCCTCCTTTCTCTTGCCCCGAGGGTTTGGTGGAACAGCTTTGGAAAGGCCTCCCCTGCACCTGTCGGTGGCTCCATGGAAACTTTGGTGCCCAGCCAGGCTGGCTCTGGCTGCAGGACAGCAGGACAGCAGCACCGGGGCCGTGGCATTGTCCCTCAGCTCCTGTTACCCTGGCAGCCAGCGAGGGGAGAATGGGAATTCTGGCCCACGAGGGGAGGTGGCGGAATCTCGGGATCTCCACAGAGCCTGAGTGGGCTGGGAGTCTCCATGGGCTGAGGCTCCGTGGATCTGAATGGGCTGCAGGTCCCCAGATCTCAAATAAACTGAGATTCCCTGGATCCCGATCAGGGTGAGGATCCCAAACAGCTTCAGATCCTGAGCAGACTGCAGGTCCCCAGACCCCAAACAGCCTGAAGCCCTGCATCCCAGCAGGCTGATTGATGTTCCCATCCCCATCCTGCTGTCCCACGATGCTCTGATGGACACGTTGGAGATTTGTACCTGCAAGGAGCAGCGTTTGCTGCCCATCCCGGCGGTACCTGCTGCGTTCCAGGGGAATCTCCCGGGGCTCTGACACCTCCCCTGAGCCCTCTGGAGCCCTGAGCAGTGACAGATGGACGGGGTGACCTGCTCGCAGCACAGCCTGCAGCTCCCGCGGGGATTACAGCTCCCTCCCGGAGCCGGGGGTGCTGCGGGCACGGCTGGGCTGTGATTAATTACCCGCGTTCATTAACGCCCTCCTGGCCCCCTTCTCCTTCCAATCCCACCCCCTGGCCTTTGCAGCTCCAGCTCCGGCCGGGAAGAGCCAAGAGAAGAGTGAGAGCGCTCTCGTTGAGATGCAGAACTGCATTTCTGCCATTTCCAGGAGCCAGGGGACAGGTCGGAGCCAAGGGACCGGGGGGGAGGATGGTGTGGGTGTGCGTTGGCATTTCAGCCTTCCCTGCCCACTCCCATCCCTATTATTCCGTCTCCATGGAGTCCTGAGGGCTTTTTTTGGATGCCCACTGCTGGATCTGCTCTGTTGTTACTATTGCTCTTTGTAGCCGGAAATTTTTAGGACAAAAGGTGTGCGTTACATTTGGGTTGTGCTCCCAGGGTGAAATTCCACCTGGTGACTCCTGTTGGGCCTCAGGTGGGTCCCAAACCACGGAGGTGCTGCAGCTGTCAGGGATTAAGAGCTCTGTGAGTGTAAATTCTCCTTTCCCTGCTGGGGAGCAGGAATCACTCCCTCCTCCAGCCCTGTGTCCCTTGGGAGGAATTCCTTGGGAAATCAGCGAGGCTGGAGCTGGATGAGGCACCAGGAAAGGGAGGCTCAGCTCAGCCTCTGACACAGGGCACACCCTGCTCTGGAAATCTGGCCCAAAGCTTTTTCCTCCCCTTCCCTTTCCCTGTTTTTCCCCCCCTTCCCTTTCTGCTCCATCCCGGGACAAGGCCATCCCCACCTGCCTCCTCAGGGGAGCATTTCCAGCAGCTCAGCAAGAGAGAAAGGCTCAGCGTGGGGGAGTTATATCATTTATATCATTCTTTATATCATCGTTGTTAAGAGTAGCAGGTATTGATGTACAATGCATCTGTCATCTTATTGTGCTTCCTATGAAAATGTGTGTACATAGTACAGATACCGGAGAGAATTCCACACTTTATACACTTGAAGGCATTCAGAGATCAGTAACAGAAAAAAAAAATGGCACAAGAACAAGGCCTAAATGCTACTGGATGGGTATCTACACTGGCATGATGCATATAGATATATATATATATGTACACATATATATATAGTCATATATATTATATATAAGAAATATAAAATGCCGATGACATAACAAAAAAGCGTTTTCTTCAACAGGTGAGCCTCAAGGTCAAATCCCAGCCCCATCTTTAAAAGCTTGAATGGGAAAGAGAAAGAAAGAAAATAAATAAATGAAACGTGATGAAACATTAGGAGAAATCCATAAGAAAATTTATGGATGTGGCCGACCCGTCGTCTTTGGGTGATCGCTGGATACAAAGGACTAACCCCCAGTTCCTAATTTTGGTCAGGAAGCAAATAATAAAAATAAAAATGACAAGAATAAAAAACAAAACTGCAGTTTAGAAAAAAAAAATTACTAAAAAGACTTATTGCAAAAGCTCTTAAAGATAAGTAGCACTTGGGCCCGGGGAGGGCTCTGGCCTGGGGGCTGGGAGACGGGTTGGGGGGCCAGATGGGGACCTCAGAGGGACTGGTGGGCTCTGACAGGTGGCCACAGACCCCAGCCAGGACAGGGCTGTGCCAGGGAGGGGCAGCAGAGGTTCTGGGAACCCACAGACACCCCAAACCCCCCAGGGCAGCAGCTTTTGGGGCTCAGCGGGGCTGGAGCCCCAGAGCCCCCTCTGAACCCTGGGGAGTTGGGGCTCCGGTGCCTGCCCAGCCACGGTGGTGCCAAGGGGGTGTCCCCAGCTGGGGACAAGTGGGACCAGGAGTTTCCTTGTGCCCTTCTCCCCGAGGATGGCTGGGTTTGGGGCCACAGGGTTCCCTGCGGACGGGAGGGACCATGGGGCAGTGCTGGAGCTGGCCAGGCTGCCCAGAGGCCAGGAGGAGCGGGCAGGGAGGGACAGTGCCCGGTGTCCCCAGAGCCCAGGTGGCACCTCCCAGCTGAGCCCCCTCCGGTGCTCCTGGAGCTGATCCTGGGGCTGATCCCGGGGCTGATCCCAGGGCAGGGCCAAGGAAGACGTTCTGGACAGGTGGAGGTGCCGCGTCTTCGTGCCAGGAGCGCCCGGGCTGAGGTGCCGGGGGACAGAGGGGCTCTCCAGGGATTCCCGGGCTGCTGCCCTGTGCCAGGCACGCCAGGGGCTCCCCAGTGAGCCCCCCAGCAGGCACAGGGGGCCCAGCAGGCGCGGCCAAGGCGTTGGAGTAGGATGAGCATGGAGACGACGGAGGACAGACGGACAGGGCTGTGGATGGAGACTGCGGCCGGACGGCTGCTTCTTCTTGGCTTCTGGGTTTTAGTTAAAAAGGCCGAGGGGAGCCAAGGGGGAGCCGGGGCAGGCCCGTGCCCTGGCCCACTGTGCGTGTCGCTCCCGCTCCGCGGGACGGCCGGGCTGGAGCATCCTGGAGTCTCTGAAGGAGCAGGGCAGGCGCAGAGCAGCTGCGCCAGGGTCCGGCGTCGCCCGACCCCACTGCCCGCCCCGAAATCCGAGGCCGTCGCTCTTGTCCGTGTCCCACCGTGCCGAGGAGCAAAGGGCCCCTAGATGTGTCTCTCCGCTGGCGCTGGCGGGGAGAAGGGCAGCTCTCGCAGGGCTTTGGTAGCTCAGGTTGTACATCCAGACGTCGGTTAGCAGGTGAAGTCCTCAAAGGTGCCCCGGGCCGGGTGGTGAGGTAGGATGTTGGCTGCGTACGTCATGCCTGCTGGGTGCCCCCGTATGCTTTCGCAGGGATTCTGCAGGATAAAGGGGATTTTGGGGCTGCTGCTTTCATCCAGGTCCTTGCAGAGACCCAGTGCCATCCCCCCACGGCATCTCTGCCTGGGCCCTCTGCTCCTTTCCCAGGGGCTCCCCAAAACGGTGACTCCCCACCCCTGAGCTGCAGGAGGGGACAGGCAGGAGGTGACAGGCAGGAGGGGACAGGCAGAGGGGACAAGCAGATGGGGACAGGCAGAGGGGACAGGCAGGAAGGGACAGGCAGAGAGGACAGGCAGAGGGGACAGGCAGGAGGGGATAGGCAGGAGGTGACAGGCAAAGGGGACAAGCAGGAAGGGACAAGCAGGAGGGGACAAGCAGGAAGGGGACAGGCAGAGGGGACAGGCAGGAAGGGATGGGCAGAGGGGACAAGCAGACAGGGACAGGCAGAGGGGACCGTGCTGTGCCCCGTACTCACGTGGCGCTTCACGTCATCCATGCTCAGCGCGACGCCCTTGTCTGTGTTGTTCCTCTTGTGGTTCTTGCGGCACTTGCCCCGCCGGCACAGCCGGTGCTTTATCACCTGCCAGAGCCACATGTCAGCCCCGTGGGGCTCAGGGGTGGCCATTCCCCTCATCCCACACGAGCACAGCCTTGGGACGGAGGAGACGCTCACCTCATAGGCGTAGTCAAACAGCTCCAGCACTGTGAGGATGCTGGCCCCAATGAACAGCCCCATCTGCCCTCCAATGTCACCTGCAGAGGAGAGGGAAACCATCAGGGTGGCCTGAGTCCAGAGTGGGGGGCAGAGGGAGCAGAGAAAGGGGCAGAACTTGTCACCACTGTGACTGGTGCCTGGGGTGCCCTGCTCCACATCTGTGCTCTCAGCACATCCCAGTGCCTTGGGAACAGGCCATGGTGACAGGGCCAGCACAAGGCCACCTTGCTGGGGAACTCTGGCTGGGCTGGGCCCTGCTGTCACAGGGCTCCCCAGAGCCACCAACACTCACCCAGCAAACCCGCCACCTCGTACGCCTTCTTCTGCTCGATCGTCTCGTAGTTGAGGGCTTCAAAGAAGATATCCAGCACCAGGATGTTCTCCCTGTGCAGGACAGGAGGGGCGTCAGGCTGAGGTTTGGGATGGAGGGACCAGACCCTGCCCCACCACCGTGGCCATGGTGCCTTACCCAATGTACTGCTCCGACTTGTTGTACTTCTTGGCCAGGTACTTGGCCGAGGCCTTGCTGGGGATCTTGACCATGGAGAGCTCTTTGCCGTAGCGCGTCATGTTGCAGGGCATCTCACAGATGCAGTACTCGTTGTCCTTCTCCACCAGGAAATCTGTGCAGGGAGAGAGGGCGATGGCGAGATGGAGGAACCCAAGGGCGCAGCTCCGTCCCACCCCCAGGGCCGGGCAGCCTCACCTAAGGCCGGATCCGCGCACTCCTTGTACTGCTCCGGGGTGCAGTAAGGGGCATCGCCTGGGGAGACACAGAGCAGGTGTTCCAGGTGCGAGCACAGCGGAGGGCAGGGCCGGGCCTGGCCGGGCACGGGGCTCACCTGGCATGTGCACCATGCGGCAGTTGCAGTTCTCCACCAGGTAGCGGGTCTCGCAGTCGATGCGGCACGCCGTGATGCTGTAGGTGTCGTAGAACTCCGAGTCGCCCGCCACGGCCTTGCAGTCGCCCCAGGGAGGTGGCAGGTAGATGAGCTGGAAGGGGAGAGAAGCCAGCAGTGAGGAAGAACCCCCTGCAGTTCAGGGACAGACCCTCATGGCAGTGGTCCCCAGGACGGGATCCTCCCGTCCATCCAGCGTGGGGACAGGGGCACAGCGAGGAGGCTCTGCTCCCACAGCGCGGGGTGGGAGGGGACATCCCACACCTGCCCAGTTCCTACCCGCTGCTCCTGGCAGGACACAAAGGTCTGGAAGCCGGGAGCCACCCCGAAGCCCAGCTGGTCGATCAGAGGGGGCTCGTCCTGGCTGTGGATCTGCACCTTGATCCCGGCTTCGAATGAGGTCTCATCTGTGGCAGAGAGAAGTGGGGTGAGCACAGCACTGTCCCTGCTCCGAGGGGCTGTGCCGAGCCTGCTGGGACAGAGACCACAACTCCTGCCTCCCATGCTTCCCCCGGGCCAAGTCATTCATCCACATGTCCATCCATCTGTCCATCTGTTTGCTGCACCATGTCCTTGCCCCCTCCACCCCGACCCCCCTGCTCCACACCCAGGAGTGTGGCAGGGAAAGTATTTGACTCTATTTATAAACAAGTGATGGCTGCGTGTCTAAACGATGGGGAGTTGCCATGGCAAAGAGCAAAGACAAGGAGGAAAAGGGAAAGAAAAGAGCAGAAGTGATGAGAAATGGAAGGAGGGAAGAGAAGGGAGCCTCAGGGATGTGGATCTGTGGTCTGGGGAGGTGGGAAGGGGCTGGGCAGCACCCCAGGAGCTGCTGGTGGCTGAGTGGGCCCACTGGGGCAGTGGGTTACCTGTTTCCCCCCACACTGGCAGGTACTCGTCCTGCTGGATGTCCAGCATGATCTCCAGGCCATTTCCAGTGCCCCCCTTCATGGTGATGAGCCGGGGCTTCCCGTCCTGCCCCGCATTGAAGGTGTAGCACTTCCCATAGCGGGTGAAGACCTGCAGGAGAGGACACAGGGCTGAGGCTGAGGCCCCTCTGTGTGCAGCCACAGCACGGAGCCAGGAGAGCGTCCCCAGCCCCAAAACTCAGCCATCCCAGCCTGGGCATGGTCCGACCCAGGCTTCTGACCCACTGGATCTCTCAGTGCTGGAACTGCCCATCCTGGCCCTGGTGAAGGAGGAGATGCTCCCACAGGGATGGACTCAGAGGAGACACTGCAGATTTACAGCCCCAGAGAGCCTGTGGCAGCTGTGGCTCCCCAAGGTGGTGGCACTCAGCCTGATGCCTGCACTGGCACCTCCTCCAAGCCCTCCTCCATCCCTGCAGAGGACAGGGCTGGACGGGATCCTGGACCCCCCCATCCCTCCTCGGCCATTCCAGCTCTCGCCTCCAGCAGCCAGCATGGCCCCAAAACCATGGAGCTGCTGCCAGCCTGGGCAAGGGGCATGTGAGGGCAGTGGGCTCACACCACACGGTGCCCCACAAGCCCTGATGGCACCAGGATGGAGGTGCCAGGCACCCCCTCAGCGAGCACAGCCCCGGGGACACGCTCCATGTCCCACCAGAGCAGCTCCACCGCCGGTGCCATCCCCAGCTCTGGCAGATGGAGCTGAAATATCATCCTGCAAGAGCAGCATCACCTGCCGTGCCTGATCCAACATCCAACACCGACCAGCTCCGGAGCTGCTCCCCGTGCCGGGCCACCCTGGGGCTACTCACCGGCGCAAAGTCCCCGGGGCCGCAGCGCTGGCCGCGGTAGCTGCAGCTCAGCAGCATGTCCTCCAGCTGGTGGCAAGTGCGGTTAAAAAACCCGTACAAATTTAGGGGCTCGTCCTCCTCCCAGGGGCCCGGCTGGGCAGGGGTGAAGCCCAGCTCCATGCCGGGCTCGTAGTCCACCAGAGGGGCCAGGTAGAGCAGGTCCTCGTGGCTGAGCTGCGAGAGCCGCACACGGTTGATGTTGCAGAAGGTGACGGCGGGGAAGGTCATCTCGGGGCTCTCCTCCTCGCTGAGCAGCGTGACGTGGTGGTACTCCAGGTAGTAGGCGATGCGGTCGGCCACCTGGTAGAGGAAGACGGAGAGGGAGAGGAGGAAGGCCAGCGCCCACAGCGCCTGCCGGGCGCCCAGGCTGCCCTCCACGAAGATGTGGCTCAGCCCGTGCAGGGTGCAGCTGCTGGCAAAGGCCACGAAGTCCGTGGTTGTCCCTGTGTCCTCCTCGTCCTCTTCATCCTCCTCCTCCTGCCCATATAGAAACTCGTCTGCTTCATCTTCTTCCTTCTCAGTGGCTGCAGCATCTTCTGGTGCTTCCTCCCTGGAGAAGGAGATGGTGCAGAATATCTGGAGAGGCATTGCCCAGCCTGGGGATCCCAACTGTGGTGTGGAGGTCCTGGCTCTGTTGTGGGGGTCCTGGCCCGTGCCCTGCCCCAGCCTGGGGGTCTTCAGTCAGTTCCTCAGCAGAGAGGGGCTGGGGAGATCAGGGGAGGGGGAAGGGGCAAGTTCAGAGAAGAGAAACGGAGAAAGGAAAAGGAGTGAGGCGAGCGGGAGTGAGGGAGAGGAGCAGAGGGATGCTCGGGATGCTCGGAGCCAGGAGGGTATATCAGGAGCAGGAGGGGAGGAGGAGCGAGGGGCGGTTCCGCGGGCTCCCCGGGCCCCCAGGGACCGGCCGGCTCCGGCTGCCAGGACGGAGCAGAGACATCACGGCCTCCAGAGGCGCCGCGGGAGCCCCCAGGGGCTGCCAGGCTGGGGGCACACCGTGTGGGCAGGTACCCAGCGCTGTGCCCCCACGCCGTGCCCTCCATCCTGGCGTGGTCTGGCCCTGGCAGCCCCAGCGGCTGCTCCAGCCAGGCCCAGCCCTCCCTGCTGGGACCCCGGCTGCCTCCAGAGCCGCCGTATGCCAGGCTCTCTGCGCTCATCCCCAGGCCAGCTGGAGCCAGAGGTTCTCCCAAAATGCCCGTGACACTGTCCTGGTTCAGTGGTGGTCCAGGTGGAGGGAAGGATGCTGTGGTGTCCTCAGGCTCCCACGGTGCTCCTCCTGCCCTGGCAGTGCCCATCCCTGCAGGCTCATCCCCCTGTGCCGCAGGGCACCGGCGTGTGCACGTGAGAATCCGGCAAATCCAACATTCCCGGTGCTGTGAGGTCTGTCCTCCTCTGAGCAGGGCTGGTCTTGGCAGGATTTGGGTGCTGTCCAGGCAACGAGTCCTTCTGCAGAGCCCAGTCAGTGCTGGGCACGTCACCTCCTGTTTTGGATTCCAGTGGGGCACAGGGAGCCCCCTCTTCCTTCAAGGAATGGCTCCAGGCCTTGTGCTGCTGAACCAGCCGGGCTCAGGGTCCCAGGGAGCAGCTCTGGTGCAGGAAGCTGGGATGGAGCTGCACGGGCGTCTCCTCTCTGCAGCAGCGCAGCCCCTTCTCGTGGTTTGCTGCTTTTCCTGTACTCAGCACTTGATAAAAGCATCCAGAGACCACAGAGCAATCTCCAGCCCCATCCCGGCACCGGGGGAGAATCTAAATCCGGCAGCACTTGGATGTGCAGGGGCTGGATGGGAGCTTTGGGCCGGTGCCTGGCTGGGAGAAGCTCACCCCAAGCCCTCAGTTCAGCTGCTCTGATTCCTTCCCTGTGCACCCTGCAGGGTTCCTGGTCCCTGAGCACATCCCGGCACACATGGACACCACAAACTGGGAGGACAAATCAGTCAGGAACTCTGTAAAAATCTGATCTGATACCAGCAGAGTTATCAGAGATTCCTGGGCAGGTGATGCCAGTGGAACAGGCGCTGGGGATCCCTGCCAGGGGCAATGATCCACAATGTGACACTGGGGCGTCCCATTCTGGGGCTCCCCAAGCTCAGTATTCCCTTCAATAGGGCCCTTGTGTAAGAGGAACACTGGCAGATGCCACTTGGAGACCTGGGAGAAAGAATGGATGACCTTGGGGATGAGCGCCAGAGCCACAGGATGAAATTTCATCAGGCCAAGATCAAGGTTACACCTTTTGGGAGCATCCCAGAGAATTTGAGATGAAAACTCTGCCTAGAAAAGAGAGTCAGGAAGGTGAATTGGGTGGCTCGGAGCCACCAGGATATGGGGGCCAGGTCATAGGTGCCCTGTGTCTGTGGTGGGGATGAGCTGCAGCCGCAGGACAGGGCTGTGACAGCATCAGGGCTGCTCCTGGCAGGGGTTTGGAAGAGCTGGGCTGGTCCAGCTCTGTGGGCGCAGAATGGGAACACACTGGGCTGATCCCACACAGCTCGGGATGCTCAGGACAGGGAGGAGCTGTCCGGGGCTGGGCTGGGATTTCTGCTGCTCCCAGCTCTGGCACTGGGTTCCCGTGCCTTGGCTGTTAGGGCGAGAGGAGAAGGGAAACAGAATTAAGGAATTGCAGGTTGAGGGGGGTGTTTAGCCCCACAGGGCTCGGACAGGTGAGCCGTGCTGCCCGGGGCCAGCAGGCAGCCCCAGGGGCGGATCCGCTCCCTCGGCGCGGGGAGGTTTAATGTGTCTTCTTGGGAGCGATTGCAGCAGGGAGAGAGAGAGAGAGAAAAAGATGCTGTAATGAAAACATTCCATCATCGACTGGGGCCATTAACCTGCTTCGCTCGGCTTAAACAGCACGCGGGGTGCGCCGGGGCTGGATCGCAGCAGCAGGGCCCGGCTCCGGTTACCGCCACCTGTCCCAGTGCTGACACCCGAGCCGGGTGAAGGTGACCGGGGACAGCCGCAGCCTGGAGCACGGCGGCACCAGCCAAGGGGAGCGCGTCCTGACCCCCAGATTGGGGACAAAGTGCGGCAGGGGGGTGCCGTCCTGGTTTGTGCGAGTTTTGGAGATGCTGGAGGAGTCCTTGGGCTCGTTCCAGCTCCTCCCTCGCCGGGAGTTATTTTTACCCTCTCTCAGGTAAAGCTTTGGCGGGGGTGAGGGACGGGGGATGCTATAATTAGCCGTGACATCAGCCCCCGTGGCGGGTGCTGGGGTGATGCCGCCACACCCGAGCCGGCGCTGGGGCCGGGGATGCTCCGTGCCCTGCTCGCCGCCCCAGGGAGAGCTGTGGGCTGCGAGGAGGAGGAGGAGATGGGTTTTTCCTGCCTCCAGCACCGTGTTTGGCCGCTGTCCCGGGGCGGTTCGGCCCCGCTCGCTGCTCTGCGGCTCCTCAAGGCCTGGGAAAGGAGGTTTCCCGGAGCGGGGGAGCACGGAGGCGGCGGGGGGGAAGCGGGAGCGGGATTTGACGGCAGCAACAGCACATTTCACAGCCTGTCACGCTTTAATGGCAGAGGAGATCAAAGCCGGGATGGAGTTATTCATAGAGATAAACCAATCCCCGAGGAGGCGAGGAGAAAACAACATTGCAAGCTCTGTTATCCCAGGTCTCCGAGCCCCGGGGAGGATGTCGCCGAAAGCGCCCCGGGAGCTGGACCCGCTCGGTTATGTGACGGGCACTGCCCGTCCCTGCCAAAGACCGGCTGAGCCGGGGCTGAGCTGCCCACGTCATCCCTGGGGGTGCCCGCAGGTCGGAGCTGGCTGCCAGGAAGGGATGGGATGAGGGGTGGGATGAGGCAGCCAAAGCAGCACGTGGGGGTGGACATTTGGGGCAGACGGAGACCCCACGGCTGGGTTGTCCTGCTCCCACCACGCACCTGGATGTGCGAATCCAAAGGGAGAAAAATGAGGTTTTCCACGTGTCTTGGCCCAGGGATGTGCTTAGCAGCTCGCAGAGCTGCCAAGATGGTGGTGGAGGCACCGGCAGCGCTGCCACTGCCGCTCTGGGCGGGATGAGCCGCTCTGGGACAGCTCCAGGGCCGCACATCCCTCCCTGACCCTGGCGAGAGACAGAGCAGAGGCAGCCAAGCAAGGTGGGATTGCCCGGGCAGGCGGGATCTGTGCCGGGACTAATCCTGCACCCCTTATCAGATGCTGCCACCTTGCCTCGGCTCGCTCCGCCAGCCAAGCCGGGCGCAGCTTGTGTTATCCGGCCCTTTATCCCCCAGATTAGACGCTTCACAGTGGATTAGCATGTCACATTCTAATGCAGAAAAATTGATGATTAAAAAGGAGTTTTTCCTCTGTATTATTCCCCACCTCCGCCTCCTCTCCACCCCGTCCCTGCAGGCCCACCAGCCCCAGCCGCGGGCCCCGGCGATGCCAGAGCATCCCTGGATCAAACGGGATGGGAAACGGGAAGCCGAAGGTGCCTTTTCCACGCCGCACCCCGGCTGCTTCTGGTGGCGGGGTCCGGTACTCCAGGTGCCTGTGCCATTCCAGCCCCGTGTTCCCAGCTGCAGACTCAGCACCTGCAGCACAGGACTTTAATAAAAAGCACATTATGGTGAGTAATGTGCTAAGTGGACTTCATTATAGAGCCAGGGCCTCCCTGGATCCCGTTGTTCCATATGATTTCATATCAGATGAGCCTTATCTCCTCTCCAAACGCTTCCATTTAAACTCTATTAATCTTTCAAAGCTTTCCTGGGCAAGCTCTTCCCAGCCAGCCCTGCTGGGTGCCGGCGCTGCTGCCCCGAGCACTGAGGCCACCTGCAGCCACGCTGGCCTGGGGTTTAGGGGGGCTCAGCCAGGACCCCCTGCAGCTCCATGGGCAGTCCAGTGCGTCCCTGGAGCCTTGGCTGTGATCCGCCGTGACGGCTCCGCAGCCGCCGCATCCTCCTCCCCAAGATCTGTTTACGCTCCTATAATTGAACCTGTTTGTAGCGCTGAGAGCTTCCCGGTGATCTCCCCGCTGGCAGTGTCCCTCTGTGCCGTGCAGGGGTCACCAGGACTGCGCCAGGACGCGGAGATGCTGCCGAGGTGTCGCTAATTCCCGGGATTATTCCCGACCCTGATGCCAACGCCTTCCCGCGTTTCCTGCCGATCGCGGATCTCCCGTAAGCAGGTTGTGATTTTTTCCGACATCCTTCACAATCGCTCAGCCAGTTCATGCAGGCAGATCCGAGCCGGCGGTTTTATTGGAGGGGGGAAAAGCCCACGGTGTTCCGGTCTGGTTTCCTTGCTGCGCTCGCTCGCTCCGGCTCCGCACGTATCACGCTTTTCAAATCTAATCTAATCCAAGTAGAGCAGTCACACAGCCCTGGCATGTGGTGCCTCTGGAAGGGTCTCCCTGTCCCTGCCAGGAGAGCAGGGGTTTAAAATCCCTGATAAATCGCAGAGTGGGTGGGAACACCCTGCCCCAGCTCCGTCCTTAGGCTGAGAGCCTGGATACAAACACACCAAACATTCCATACCGAAAAAAACCCTCCAAAAATAAATAATTGGTTATAATATCCAAGTGTCAGAGCTGTATAAATAAATAAGAGCCAGTGAGGAGCTCCTTGAACCCTGGCTGGAGCAGGAATTGCAGCGTTGCCTCGGGAGCCCCGGCCAAGCTCCACAGGCGATAAAACACAGGTGGCTCTAAACAGCCAGAGACATTAAACTGAGGCAAAAAGGCCATGAGACAGTTAATTTCCTGTCTCTCTGTGGAGATCTGTGGCTCCAGAGGCTCAGGGGATCTGCCCCCTCCGGCCTGGCTTGTCCCCAGTTGATATCAGGGAGAGAGGGAAAACGGCACCAGGAGGTTCTGGGCAGGTCCTTTGGAACCCTCAGAGAGCACCTTGCTATTGCCCAGCCTGGGGCTGGGAAAAACAGCAAAGGGAGGCTGAGAGGAACAGCTTGGAACCCCTCATCTGCTGCTGCTGTCCAGGGCTGTGCTTCCATCCCTGGGGACACACGTGCCCTGTCCTCAGCTGTGAAATCCTCACCTCCATTGCGGCTGGATACCACTTGAAAGCCTCCTCATCTCCTCCAGCAGCCACAAATGCCATTACAGCTTATTAATAATCATTAATAATTCATTTGTTAATGAGGCTTTGTGTGCAAAGGCATTGCAAGAGGAAGAGGATTGGCCAGAGGTGAAGCTGAGATGTTCTGAGCTCTTGGCACGACACCTCTGGGTGTGCGTGGTGCCTCCAGCTGTGTATGACACCTCCGGGTGTGCAAAGTGCTTTGGGGTGTGACATCTCCACATGTGCAAGGTGCTTTCTGTGTGTGTGACCCCTCTGGGTGTGTGCAGAGCTTTGGGGGTGTGTGACCCCTCTGGGTGTGCATGGTGCTGCTGTGCGGGGGGAGATGCTGGGTCTGGGCAGAGCCAGGGACTAAATGACACCAGATGAGCCTGACCCTGATCCCACAAGTCCTTCTCCTCTAATCCCACCGTTTCCCAGAGCTCTGAGATGCTGGATGTGCCGTTCACAGCTCTAATGAAGTGGCTGTGGGGTGAAGCACGTGGTGGCCTCTCACGGTGCCACTGTGTTCTCATCCCCCTTGTTCCTGATCCTCTTCTGCCCCATCTTGGCCAAGATCAGCGGTGGTGGGCTCACTGGAGCTGGTCCCACGGCACTGGGGCCGTGCTGCCGCTGTCCTGCTGCAGAGGGAGAGTGAAGAGCAGCTTCCCACGAGATTCCCATCCACGTTTGTGCCAGTGTGGAGTGAGCAAAACCACAGCCCAAAGCTCGCCTGTTCTGCCTGAGCAGGTCTGGGAATGCTTGGGTGAAGCTGGGACAAGGAGGCAGCTGAGGAGCAGCGCCTGAGTGTCTCCGCTCCCTGCCCGAGGGTGAAACAGCTCACGGCTGCTTTCCGGATGATTTGCTTTGAGCAAAATACAGTGATACGGGAAAATCTCCGGGCTGCCGAGCAGAGCTGGGGCACTCCCAACCCGCTGCACTTCCCGGGAGAGCCGAGTCACCACCAGCAAACGGCGGCGGTCCCGTGCGCGGCGGCTCCTCTGCTCCGTCACCTCCGATTATCTCGCCCGTGTCCCGCTGGCTTTGCTCCGTTCGTCTGGAAAACGGGGCAGCCTCGGGGGTCAAACCCTGCTGCTGCTCGGCCACAGAGAGAGGCCGATGTGGGGAAGGGTTTGGGCGGAGATTGCCGCTGATCCAGGTGAGGATGCTCGGCCGGGCCCCTGGGGACACCACCGGGATGCCCGAGGTGAATCAGTGCCCAGAAACCACAGATCCGTGCCAGCAGTTTCCAACGCTTATAAGTAATTTAGGAGCCTGTGTGCCGCTTTAAAAAGTGATTTGCATAAATCACTCGAATGTCTTACAGAATTTGTAAATGCACCGGCTCCGCTGGGGACCGTGGTGGGATCTGCTGGGGCTCGGGATGCTGCTGGGAACCAGCCCCAAAGCAGGTCTGGGGCCGGTGGCCGTGCCTGGCGCCCAAGTTGTTTTTCCAGAGCCAGATGGACCCATGCGGTTTGTTTATTAACTGTCAAAAGCTCCAGGAAATGTCTGGGTATCAGTAATTCCCGCGCCCGGTCTCTCCAGCTGTGTTGGAGATGCTTCTCACTCCGGCTCCGTGATTATCCACTAACGCTGCACGGCGGGGGAGCTCCGCTCGCCGCGGGGCTCCGGCCTTGTGACTGCCGTGGGGGGCCACGGGGGGCCGGGGCTGCGCTTGGGGAAGGGGCTGGGGCCTGGATCCCGCGGGGCTGAGAGCCGGGGGGAGCAGGGGAGCAGCAGCACCCCCGGCTGAGCGCCCCTGAGCGTGCCCTGCTGTGCCCACCCCTCTGAGATCCCACAGGGGCTGCAGGACAGCCCTGAACGTGCCCTGCTGTGCCCACCCCTCCGAGATCCCATAGGGGCTGCAGGACAGCCCAGTGCCCTGCTGTGCCCACCCCTCCGAGATCCCATAGGGGCTGCAGGACAGCCCTGAATGTGCCCTACTGTGCCCACCCCTCCGAGATCCCACACCTCAGTGCCCTACTGTGCCCACCCTCTGAGATCCCATGGGGGCTGCAGGGCACCCCTGAGCGTGCCCTGCTGTGCCCACCCCTCTGAGATCCCATAGGGGCTGCAGGACAGCCCTGAATGTGCCCTACTGTGCCCACCCCTCTGAGATCCCACACCGCAGTGCCCTAGTGTGCCCAGTGCCCTCTGAGATCCCACAGGGGCTACAGGACAGCCCAGTGCCCTACTGTGCCCACCCTTCTGAGATCCCACAGGGGCTGCAGGACAGCCCAGTGCCCTACTGTGCCCACCCTTCTGAGATCCCACACCCCAATTCCCTGCTGTGCCCACCTCTCCGAGATCCCACACCCCAGTGCCCACCAGCAGGGCAGGTTTGACCCACACAAGGGTTTTTTTCCAGGGAAGAAGCCACACCATGTTCCCAGGGTGGCAGGAGCAGAGCTCCAACACCCTCAGCTGGAGTGAGGTGGGCTGAGCAGGGAGCCCAGGGGTGCAGAGGATTTTGGGGGTGCAGAGGGGCACACACTGGGGTGTAGCAGAGTCTGAGGGTGCAGCAGGATCTGGAGGTGTCTAGTGGGGTTCAGCAGGGTGCAGAGGGGTCAGAAGGAGGGTGGGGAGGCCCAGCAGGAGCAGTGGGGAACAGGATCTGTTCTCCATCGCAGGAGCTCCTGCTCTGCCCCGGAGATGGGAGGAAGGAGGAGAGGAGGAGTGTGCTTGGGGTCTGCTGGGGCTGCTGCAGACCCTTCCTGCTCCCTGCCTGGCTCTGGCTCTGTGCACCCGGTGTTTCCAGGGCAGAGGATGCAGAATCCAATGCAAAAGGCAGCGGCATGATCTCCACGTCAAACTCAATTCTCCCCAGTGCCAGCTCAGCCCTGGAGCCTCATGGAAACGGTCCAGAGGTCTTAATCCTCTCCAGCTCATCCAGGCTGTCCCATGCACGATGCCCAGGGCTCTGGGCTCAGCCACCGTGCCCCAGAGCAGGACAGGGATGGGGTGAGAAGGAAAAGCCGCAAATTCACATTGTGCCACCCCTGGGCACAGCCACT